CTTCTTCTTTTTTATTAGTTTTACTACCCGAGAGTTTAAGCTTTGATGATAAAGCTCATGCCGAGCATTTATCTCTTGATGGACATCTTCTATCATCTCGTTCACTAATGGAGGTAAACCCTCAAATGATGGCACTCGTACCATTTATCCCTAGTTTGTTACCATTTTGGCTATCCTAATGAATTACTCCTATCAAATCTTCTTTTAAGGTTATGATCTCTTTATTTCTCCGAGAATTCTTAGCTTCCCCTAAAAGTTTACTAGAAACTTTCAAATCTTCGTAGTACTCGACTAACCTAGTGGTTATTGGGATGAACTACTCAAATTTCAATTATCTTAGGAATATGTTTAGGTAATAACCGATACAACATCAAGCTCCAATTAGTGACACCTAGGGAAAGTTGCCACATTAAACTAGATAAGAACAAAAGAAAGCATATTGTACCCTCTAGTGGAATTATGACTTGTCTAAGCTGAAAATCATTCCTATCCACATGGCTTTGTCAAACTCATTAAGGAAGTGATTAGTGAAGTTCTCCATTTTAGAGTATAAATCCATGGCATACAAAAAATTTTGATGGCCTTTCTAGTCACTATATGGCTAATAGTCCATATAAACAGTAGTTGGACATAACATCTTAAATATCCATCCTCTTTTCTTAGACGAAATTTAGTGATGAGAGTGTTTCTACTAAGATTATAATGATGGAGCTGATCTTGAGGGACACCACACTTTTGAATATATTGATCGTCTTAATGTCAATCATGCCTTTTACTAATGACAACCTACCAATTCGTATATGGCTAGTGCCAAGATCCTAAGTTTGGAACTCGTTATCATTGTCTTATAAGTTCTTTCTAAATTTTTCTTGAAGAATGCTCTAAAACCATCCCTAAGTTTGACCTTTCTTAGTTAATTGCTTTTATACGACAACGGGATCAATTTTGGTCAACCATGCAAAGCGTGTAAGAGCTTACTTAGGCAAACTGTAAAAATAGACAACCTCTATTTCAAAGAATGCCAATAAAACTTCATATTCTTCTAGTATGAGTGACAATCCACACTTCTAAAGGTGAAGCAACGGTATTTTGGATTCCAATGCCCTATCATAGCTTAGAAGTATGAGATTTGAGTTTTTATCTTAAGCAATTAAGCTATTTCACCATTAGCTTTTTAAAAGTCAAATCTTTCTTCGGGAGGAGTAAGCATTTCTCGACAATTAAGGAGTGGGCCCATATTGGCTATTTTATTAATGAGTCTAGCTCTTTCTAGTAGTTTGACATAAAGCTCGGTGGTAGATTATCTCCTTCCTTAATTTGGACCCATTATGATTTGACCTAGAAATCCCTAACTTCATTTCGATTTGCTCTGTCTTAATTTATATGAGTGATAGCCTATAAATTTTGAGGGTTAGAATAGACATCATTTGAAAATGATTCATGTCATAATAGGTCAATCCTAGTGGATATCATCTAGCTTTTATGGTTTAGGCAAAACATGTCTCGTCCCGAAGTCTTTTTAAATTTTTAGATTGTCTAAATTACCAATGGGATAATCTAGCCTCTAACCTTATGCATCGGGAAGTAAGAAAAGGTTATTCCATCATTTTTTATGCATATAGCGAGTTCTAGTCCAAACACGAGCTATTTTTTATTTGTTGTATTTACTAAACTATATCATGTGATATTATAAGAGCGATGACTCGTGGTTCATTTTATCCCTATCTATTGTCCAATTCGATTAGATCCGATAGTGGTGGTCGTGGTCGTGGTTGTGGCAATGGCCATGATCATGGCCGTAGTCATGCTTCCGACTCTAAACACGTGCCCAACACTTGTGCATCGCCATCGGTAGTGCCCCTTGCCCTTAGTTGCTCCCCGATAGGATGACCATGCTCGGTGAACCGAGTCCGGCTACGGAGGTCGCTTTGGTGGTTTTTTCTACTCTAAGCAGCACTTCTAGGGCTTATGCCGACTAGATCAATTGAGTCGTTAATGACAAATAAGTAATATTCTAGTAATTAATTTTATATTTTGGTTTTTTAATTATTTGAATCAATAATATACTTATTATTTTTTATTTGTTGTGTTTGACCATTTGTATCCATCTAGTTAATGCTTTCAACAGATCATTATAATTTTCAAGAAACGATTGGACCGTGCCAACTGCATGTGGAAGTCAATCTCCTATGAGAAAAAAGATTTCTACTCGGAATGGTTTAAAATAACAATTTAAATATTTTTTTATATTACATTTAAATTCCTTCAGTAAATCTAACATGAAATGTAATAATTTTTTTCTTTCTTATAAAATTACTTTTTACGAAAGCAAGCCATCGACGCGTTGGTTAAGATGGCATGAGAGCATCCGGCAAACAAGTGATGTACTAACATGTTGACCAACTACAAGAAGAAGACCAACAAACCTTAGTATGTCCTTGAGTCGGTGTAGGATGGATGGTGGCGGGATTAGGCCACACCTAAGTTTCGAGCCTATTCCGAGTAAATGACCCGTAACCGTATGAGCGAGACAAGTGGTACTAGTGCTAGCCTATCCGACCTATAGAGGGTTCCATCTTATAGATTGAGCATGCTGAACGAGTGTAAAATTCTATTACCCATTGTGTTATAAATTAATATTTACAGTTATTACATCTCATATTATTTATGCATATTTTTTTCGATTGGGTCATGACCTAAATCCTTATGAGTTGTTTGTAAGGATTCACAAGTGTCGAGAAGGCTCATTCGTCGATATACACTCCCAAACAATTAGGGTAAGTTTATTTTTTTAATTATACATATGCTAATTTAGTATAAAAATTAAATTTATGATTGCATATATATTTTTTTTAATTGTATAGGAGCACGTGGACTCGTTGTATGAGTTAGCTTCTAGGCGATAGTTGAAAGGTGATTTATCGTCTCTAGACATCAACAAAGCCAAGATATATATTGAAGCTATAGGAGGGTAGAAGAAGCATAGAGTGTACGATCTTAGTTCATAGGCATCGCAAGATTATCGTTATTCTAATGTCAACTCATCCTCTACCATATCACGGTTCCTTGGTCATATGCAGCAGGATAATGAGCATGTCCAACGAAGTTTGGAGGATATAGAGCATGACCGTACATGATAGATCCAAAAGGCGAAGAACAAACACCAAGTGGAATACCGAGTTATCCGATAAGAGATGCAGAGGATGCAATAGTTATTGCAAGAAACACTCATTCATAATGTCCCTCCTCCTAACCCTCACCTACCTAAGAGTTGACCTTTCTTCCCAATACCTAGCATCCGACATCGATAGATGATGCAACAAATTATGACGATGACTAGTTTTTTTAATTATTCTTTTTAATATGTTCATACATCGGATTTTGTGTATATATATATATATATATATATATATATAGTTTAATTTTATATTAGTTAATTTTATTCAATAATATTTCATGTTATAACTTTATTATTAGTTTTTTGCTACTACGAAATATCATTTAAACACCTATTAATGAAATTAAAAAAAAATCCTTTATTTAATCGCTCGTTGATGAAAATTAGCAATGGAAAAAAAATCTTTGCAAATAGCAATGGATATTAGTGACGGATTGACGACCATCATTAGCTACAAATATTTCACGATGAATTTTCATCTCTCGTATAGTGATGAAAATAAAATCACTTACCAACGATTTTGCAACGGATTTCATACAAACTATACAACCGTTTACAATGAATTAGTGACAAAGTTGAAAATCCATTGCTAATAAATTTAGAGATAAGCCTTTTAGTGACAATTTTTTTCCTCGCAATTCTTTTGCCAAAACAAAATAACGACGAAATTTATAGGTATGGGGAGAAAAATTTCCATCGCTAAGCATAAAATTTTTATATTGATTGTGGTTATAGGTGTGGGTAATATAAGGTTAGAGCGTGATGTTGAGGCTGAAATACCATGTTGATGTGAAGAAAGTAGGCTAACAAAGGTAGTTGGTGTTTAATGGTTGGATGAAGAAGCCATCAATGTAGTCAATAGGTTCTTAAGTTCTACAAACCAATCTTCTTGTTACTTGTGAACTTGTTCTCATTAAATTTTTTAGAAGTGTCTTGAGCCACCACCTTGAAGACTTCTTTCAGCTTATAAAGATCATCAAGTTTGCATTTTTAGCCATGGTCATGATGGTCTAGGGAGCTCGAAGCTCTAATACCAGCTTGATAAAGAATAAAGTTGATGGAAAAGAAGAAGACAAAAGAAAGAAGAAAGACAGAAAATAGAGGAGAAGAAAAAGATAAATTATGTTATACTTGTTACATTCTATTTCTTTTCTTCTTTTTTATTTCTTATACTAGTCATTTACTAATTTGACAGATAATAGGTAACATATACCAACTAACAAACCTATGCTAACATTAATAGTCCAAGCTAAATACACTTTAATCCCATAGTAACATTAACCTAAAATCCAAGAAAATTATAAATTAAACTAATTAATCTTTTTGATTTGAAAAACTAATTGTTTAATATTTTTAACCGTATCGATCACTTCTAATTTAATATCTTTTTTTCCTCATCAATTTTTTTTTATACTTTTATTTCTTTTTATTTCTTAAAAAAAATAATTAGTTTTTAAAACCAAAAGAACTAATTAATTCATTTCTAAAGCAATAGAACTAATTTATAATTTGAAATTCAACCCAAACATTAGATAGCTCATTTTCTTTTCTTTTTTTTCAAACAAAAAACAAAACACAGTTAAAGCTCCTAGCAGAACCAGTTTGCTAAGGATTTAAATCCATGACTTCTTATTACAAAAGACCACTATTATTGAACTAGAAGCACTTTTAACATATAACTGGTAAATCCTTAATTTCCAAATCAGTTAGGTTTCATTCCCTATTAAACTTTCATTCCTTCTTCACGTATCATGATAGCATTTGCACAAATCATGCATTGAGAGACGAAATATTATCCAGAAACACCCAGTGGTAACATGTTCTACAGCAAACGAGTAAATGCTTTTCCAGATGATGAAAGTGGCTTCTGCACACCTGTGCGTAATCCTGACATCATTTCTGACATGTTCTTAATATGCCCATTTAAAATGTACGTAATTTCAATCCTCCACTCCCCCTCCAAAAATAGATGAAGTTCCATAGAGTTTTCAATACGTAGTTGGACCAACCGGATCGCCATTTCAATAGCACTAGCAAGTCTGAAAACAAATTCATGAAAACTGGCTGCACCGTCCTAAGTCTGCTGCAAGATAAATTTCCTAGATTCATGCAGTCGATCTAAAAAGGTGAACTTTAAAGATTCGCATATATTTGAAGTTGGAAATGAAGTTTACAATCCCCAGCATCCCTAAAGAGCAGAGTGTAGTTGCAATTTCACTTGAGAAAAGTACATCCGAGAAACAAGAAGATATATGCTACCAAAGATGTCATGAGTTCGAGCGTCCACGTCGACGGTATTATGACTGCTGGAATAATGGGGACACATATAGACCCACATACCCACCCAGCTGCAAGAGCTCCAAGCCTGCAATGATAAAAAGAAACATGAGTAATAAAATAACCGAGCAAAAGTAAGAAATAGATGGATTTCTTTTAAAAAAGGTGAGACATATAAAGGTGTGGGGCAGCAAGTGACAGTTTTCTTTCTTTCTTTTTTCTTTTATGCAACACTTATTGACATTTCTTTCCCTCTGTTGGAACTAGCTCTAAACACCACCATATCATTTTTGAGCGTCAAGGCAAACTAGTTGAATCCATGATAAAAGTCTCTTGAACTTAAAATTTGGGTAGATTGGGTATCGATAAAATCAGGGATTCTCATGACAGCTATATTCTATATATCTGGTATTGTACGTTAATTTCCAATACAGGTGAAATACAGTTAGACTATTAGATAAGGTTTGTTATTTAACACGACAAACAATAAACAGCATCAGGAAAAATGCTACCCAAGATTTCTAAGTGTGACCAAAAAGAACTCTTAGTGCAATAATCCAAACCACAAATCACACTTAGAAAAGAGAAGCATACCCCAATTACTAGGATAAAGAACAAAAAAATAAATATAAATAAATAAATAAAGTAGCTTCCAATCATTTGATTATTTGACTCACCCAATAATGAAAGCTCTGCCCAAGCTCTTCGTCTTCTCATTGAGGAAATATATGCAAGCTGCCAAAGAGACTGCGACCTGCATAAGATTGAAGTACTTAATGCAGAGAAAAAAGTGGTCACTCACTGCATTCTATTCTACTTCCCAGATGTCGCAGTTGAACTTCAAATGTGAAAATCAGGAATGTTAAAGGCCATGGCTCTACATCTAAAGAAATAGACACCTGGATCTGAGAGTTCTTATATCATGCCTTAAAGACAAATAGAGGAGAGTGTCTCCTGGGAAAAAAAAGCAAATCAAAAGTCTTGCAATCTCCATGCATTGAAGCTTCTTTTGTAAAAGAACAGAAGCCTTTGATTTCCAAATGAGACCACAAAGAATAAATGTTACTGATATCCATGCACAATTAATAACCACATAAAAGCACTCCATTTATTTACACTAGAAAAAAAAAAGACCAAAACAGTCACGCCATTATTAAACAACTTCTAAAGGATCACATAGGAACAGGAAAGGTCTTAAACTCTGACTAACAAGGCAGAGTTTGTACAGACCACATCAGTTTTCAAGGGAGCTACTATACATAGGATACTTCTGTTGAAAAGTTGATTTCCACTATGCTTCATGTCAGACGTATGAATCCAACCTCCTCTTCCACCCATATCCACATCTCATACATCGGTCATTGCATGTTTCATCATTTAAAAAAAAAAAAAAAAAAAAATCCATAATATGGAAAAAAAAAAAAAAAAAAACAAAATAATAAGGAAAAAAGAAATCCATAATATGACACTGTGATGCATCTCATGAACAAACATAGACAAGATTATAATTTATTGACATAAATCTGGTCTTTTAATACTCATCTCAGATAATTACACATGATTAATATTATAAGTACAAACATAAATGTATACCCATAAGCAAGAGTCTTAGATTTTGGAAGATAACATTTCCAGAGATCCATTTTTAGGTCTACATTGCGTATCTGAGTCTAAGAATCACAGCAATATGCCAGCTTATCAAACATACTTGAATGCAGCCAATCTTATTTGACAATTAAATAAAATTAAACATGAAAGAGCACAACTTGAATGCACAGGATCTACATGAGCCACAACTTCAGTACAAGAAAATTGACAAGAAAAACAACTAAGTAATAATATTTATTAAAGAAAAAGATACCAAATTCCTAAATAAGACTATTTTCTACCAAATTTAAAAATTACCAGGATATCCATGCATGAATATGCAGAAATTACACTTTAAATCCCAAACCAAGAATCTACTATGGACACATTTTTTTTTCACCAAAAAGACTTTCTGATTGATGAAGAACCATTTTGATCTAGCCTCGGGTTCTAAAGAGGAGCGTTCTCTCCAAGTATAATATAGCTATTTCAAAGCTATAGTGGTAGAACAGAGCTTCAAAAAATAGACCCAAACAAAAACACTGTTTTACGAGTCATATTTGTATTGTGATTAGATGACTACAAAGGTACTCTTACCAATGGCTTATTCTTAATTACTCAAACAATTCCGAAAATACTATTTGATATGGCAGCCTCGACCTAAAAATCAAGCACGTGTGGACATTTCACTAAGATTCAAAAACCAAAATCCTTATCATCCATCTTCCTCGGGCTTCCTGAAAGTGTAGCCTTCAATACAACAGGAAAAGGTGGGCAGACGTCAAATTCTTTTCCAATTCTATCATCCCCCTAAATCCTTGGCCCCTTCATTTTTAACACAAAAACTAGTAATAGCACCTCAACATGCATGCAATATTTCCCTTTCACCTAGACTTTTGACCTAGGAGTTCATTCAAGAAAACATCTACAACTAAGAGAAAACGCCAAACCAACCTGGAAAGCAGGACCCCCTTCAGCAGAATTTACGATGCTCCAGCCACCCATGAATGCAAAGAGGAACAATCTTCTAAAAATAACTTCCATTGGAGGAAGTTCCACAAAATTGAGTAAATTCTTAAACCAAGGAGGAGACTCCTCCACTTTCTTCTTTAGCCTGGTTTTCAAATTAATTTTTGTTTTTTTCCTCTGTTTAAAGCTAGTCATCAACAATCTCTCAAAGGCAGCTTCTACTGATTCTTCACTTCTTTCATGTCCAGCATATTGTTGCAGGAGAAAATTGCGTGAACTCCAAATTTCCTCTTCAGAAGCATAAGGGCTGATACCAAGACGTTTATAAGGATCCCAAACATTCATCCGAGGAAATTTTGGGATGTTACCTACAGGAAAAGGAAATGCACATGATAAAATAATTTTAAGACACTAATAGTAAGACAGAATAAAGGGATCACAGACTGTATGCATGAGCCAGTAGGAACCCAAATTTCAGAAGCCTAAACCATAAGCAGAAAAAAGTTAACACTGGACAAAGTAACTCACTAAGCATCACTTTCAATCAATTTTATGGTCTCGACAAAACCAATGGCTCAATTCTTACTTGCAGACAGACAAAAAACAAACAGGTAGACTGACAATAGGATTAGAATTCATACAAAACTGTCAATGTTCATGATTCACCACTTAAAGAGGACCAAACATGGATAGATACCCAGGGTAGGGCAGGGCAGGGCGATTCACCTCAACTTCCCTTGTCACTAAAAGCATCTATCGAAAATCTCCATGATACATCAAATTTGGACAGCAGTAGGAGTAGTCATTGATTAAAATTTAAAAGCAATGCATAATTTTACATAATAATAATAATAATTCCACGAGATTACCATAAATTTTCAACGCCATAACATGCATGTTAAGCCATAATTTTATCTTCTATTTTTCCGATAAAAGAAAAAAATACCATTCAATCCATATTTTGCATCCAATATATATCAAAACAAAACAATTAAAGCGTCTAAAAGATAATAAAAATAATAAAGAAATCGTTACCGTCATAAGGTGCGTCCACTGCACATTTAATGCTAATTCTAGGGCTTCTTGAACTTGTGGTGTGGAAAGAAATGGGCTGTTTTGTGTTTTCTTGTTGATATTTGCTGAGGAAATAGAAAGAAAACAAATCTTCAAAATTAAAACTAAAATAATAAAAAAGAAAGAAAATAGAGAGAGCGAGGAAGGGAGCTTACAGTTTATGGGAGAGAAGTAAAGGAGAGAGAGTAGCATTAGTAGGTGTTGAGAGAAACAGATAAGAAACCATTTCTTTTCTTTGCTGTTTTACCAATCTCTCTCTCTCTCTCTCTCTCAATCTGCGAAGCTAACAACTCCTCGGGGAAGGTTGGTCGGCTCTTTCTGAATTTCTGCTTTTCTATCTATCATTTCCCTTCTTCTGTTTTAGGACTGGTTTTTACGCCTGTATCCAAACGACATGACGCCCTGCCGCAACTTGAAGCTCTCAATTTAAACGATTGTCGTGCAGAATCTAAACTCTATGCGCTTACTAATCATTTGATTTTGTTTTATGTGGTTGTATATACTTAGGTTATCCGAAGAAAAACTTAATTTTAATTGTCATGTAAGTTGATTTAAAAATACTGTTATTCCAGTCAAATAAAAAAAATTGTATATCTTATTTAATTTAATTTCTCACTAAATTTTATAAGTCTTAAAGTTGTTTTTCCATGACAAAAGAGCATAATGGGGAGAAATTTTATATTTATCTTAAAAATAATAATCAATATTTATTTAAAGAGAAGAAATAGATAAGGAAGATGCATTCAAATGCACAAATTTTATAATTTTCACATAGTCATGGAAATAATTTTATTTACTTTTCCCAGTAATATAGAATTTCTCACTTATTGAGAGTTTGGCTAACAATCATTCCTCCCATGATTTAACATAAAGTTTAGGTATTGTTTGATAATCGAAATAAAGTGGTGAGAATACCAATAGAAGTTTTATTCTCATATTATAGTTGTTTGATTAAAAGGAATGAAATAAGAACGAGAATAAAGAGTGAGAATGAAAATGAAAATTTACACATAAATTTATTCATATATAAAATGTGGGAATAAAAACAAGGAATGGAAATGATTTTTTTTTAATAATAATATTATTTATTTATTTATTGTCTATTAATTACTTTTATCACCATCTCAACTACTACCACCACCACCCCACCATTGCAACCATTACCACGACCATTACTACTACTACCACAATCACTATTACCACCAAAGCCACCACTACTCGTCATAATCACAATCACTATCATTATCTTTATTAATTTTACAACCATTATAGTTTAATAAAATTATTTTTATTTATATAAAAAACAAGATATTAAAAAAATTTAAAGTACATTTTGATTCCTTATTAGTATTTCAAACATAATATGAAAATATAAATACCATTCCGATTTTTTAATTTTCATTCGATTCTTGCATTCTCATTCTCATAACTTTATTCCCGATTACCAAACAACACCTTAGAGTTAAAGATGAAGAAATTCTCTCAAGTAAATTTAGAGTTAAGACTAAATTCTTCCTAAATAGTGGTAATAAAAAATTGATCCATATTTGAACAAATGCATTCATAACAAATTATTATCCTTTTGGATGTTTTTTGAATAAAAGTTAGTAGTGCTTAGTTTGCCTTGGTCTTTTAGAGTTTGTTATTCGGTATAATGATATACCAAGATTTTTAGGAATCACTTTTGCATATTCAAGGTAGTTGCTATTATTTTACATTTTACCTTTAATGGATTGCCTTTTTAAAGGTTACTAGTTAATGAATAATAAAAGAAATAAAGCTTATTCAACTCTCATCTCGTTTTAGTTGTCTCTATTTTTCTAACAATTGTATCAAAGCCTCGGTTACACAAGTGTAAGAGTGAGTGAAAACGAGTGCAATGCGAGTGAGAATTCAAAGAGAGTCTATAAGATAAAGAAGGAGTATAGCAGTAGTCTTTTTCCTTTTTTCTTATAGTAGCGATAAACATAACGAACATCTTTGTTTTTCTTATAGCAATAACAATAAACATTAATGGCCTCCGAAAGTTTTGCAACAACCTATAATTCCTCGCTTTGGCGGTCACTATGACCATTGGAGCATGATGATGGAGAATTTTTTGAGGTCTAAGGAGTACTAATAACTAGTCTCTAATGGAATTATAGAAGCAACAACTAGAACAATAATATTTGATGTGCAAAAAATAGAAATAGAAGGGCAAAAGTTGAAAGATCTCAAAACAAAGAATTATCTCTTCCAAGCTATTGATCGTTCAATCTTGGAAACCATTTTTTACATGGACACCGCCAAGCATATTTAGGATTCGATGAAGAAGAAGTACCAAGGATCAAGAAAGCCAAAGTGGTAACAATTTTAAAGCACTTTGTTCGGACTTCAAAACACTTTTAATGAATTGAGGAGAGTTAGTTACGAATTATTTTCATGGACAATGGCAATTGTCAACAAGATGCAAATTTATGGTGATTAGTAGAAAGGTGTTACCATTGTTAAGAAGATTCTTCGATCCATGACACCAAACTTTAACTTTATTGTTTGTTCTATAGAAGAATCTAAAGATATTGATGCAGTTTCAATTGATGAGTTACGAGCTCTTTGTTGGTGCAAGGAATAAAATTAATCGAGTAGGAAAAAGAGGAGCAAGTATTGAATGCCTTAATTAGAAATCACTCGACAACAAGTACCGACAAAATACGTGACGGAGGTTGAAGCAGAGGTAAAGGCAAAGGAAATAATAGTCATGGAAATCAACAACAACACCAATAATAAGACAATAAATTTCAAGGAAGAGGAAGAGGAAGAGTAAGAGGACGAGGGAGCTACCACCCAACTCGCTTATAGACCACCATCGGTAGACAAGTTCAATATTGAATGTTACGGATGTCATAGGTATGGCCATTACCAATCATAATACCTAACTAATTTATCCAAAGGACAAGGTGAGAAATCTAATTTTGTAAAAAAGGAAGAAAATAAAGTAGAAGTGTCCTTGCTTATGGCTTGTCATCCAAAAGAGGTAACCCAAAAAAATTTATGATATTTAGACACAAGTCAGTAGCAATCATATATATGGAGATAAGTCTAGATTCTCTAATTTGAATGAGTCTTATCGTGATAATGTGAAGTTTGGTGACAATTTTAGAATCTTGGTTATGGGAAAGGGAAAGGTAACAATCCAAACCAAAGGAAATGTTATTCAAACTATCTCTAGTTTTGCTTGTTTCGATTTAAGAACAAACTTGCTCGGTATTGGCTAACTTTAAGAAAAAGGATATGAAATCTCCATTAAAGATGGAGTATGTTGAATTCAAAATGAGAAATTTGGCTTAATTGCTTAAGTTAATATGATATTAAATTTCATGTTTCCACTTTACCTCCACAATACTAATCATTCTTGTTTCTTAACAAAATTGAAGGATGAAGCATGGCTATGGCACCTTCAATATGGGCATTTAAATTTTAGTGGATTGAAAATAATACAACGGAAGAACATGGTCTTCCTCAAATTACAACTCCTAATGAAGTATGTGAAGAGTGTATTGTTAGCAAACAACACCATAAATCTATTTCCATAAGACAAATCACGAAACGCAAGAAAGGCATTAAAGTTGGTTCATTCTGATCTTTTTGGGCAAATAAAACCATGTTCTACTAGAGGTAAAAGATACTTAACCGCCTTAATTGACAATTTTAGTTTAAAAAACATGGGTTTATTTGCTATAAGAGAAATCTAAAGCTTTTGCAACCTTTAAAAATTTTAAAGTGCTTGTTGAAAAAGAAGTTGATAACCGAATAAAAGTACTTCACACTCGATTGGGGAAGAGAGTATAACTCACAAGAAGTTATAAATTTTTGCAAAACCTATAGAATTAAGAGATAACTCACAATAGCTTACACACCCTAACAACATGGTGTTTCCGAGCATAAAACTCACACAATCATGAATATGGTAAGAAGCATTTTTTCAAATAGTGAAGTTTCAAAAAAATTTTGGTCTCAAGCTATAAATTAGAGCATTCTTAAATTGAACAAAAATCCCACACTTGCCATTCAAAATATGACACCGGAGGAAGCATGAAGCGAACGAAAACCAGTTATAAATCAATTTAGAGTTTTTAGACGTATTGCATATGCTCATATTTCGGATGAGAAAAGGAGAAAGCTAGATAATAAAAAGGGAAAAATGCATTTTTCTATGTGTTAGCAATTAGTCAAAAGCTTATAAGTTATACAATCTTAGCACCAAGAAAATTGTCATCGGTTGTGATGTTATCTTTGATGAAGATGGAACTTGGTCATGGAACAAAAATGGAGTTAAAGAGCAGATTCCAATAGACTTTAATGGTGATGAAAAAAGGCAAGCAGCCCATTGTGAATGTATAAGAACCGAAGCCACATAAAATATTCGACCACATACTCAAAACCCATTTACATCGAAGTAGATAAAGAAAAAAAGGCCTCCATATGGTAGAAGGAGGCCCGCATGGATGGTTGATTATGAGGTAACAAGAATTAATCAATCTAAAATACATTTTGCTTTATTTTCATATTATGATCTTATAGTCTTTGAAGAGGCTATAAAAGAATCAAAATAGCGTAAGATAATGGATGAAGAAATTACTATAATTGAAAGAAATAACATTTGGGAGTTGACTAAACTTCCAAGAGGGCATAAGACAATCGGTTTCAAATGGATTCATAAAACAAAATTAAAAAAGAACGACGAAGTCAACAAGTACAAAATGTGCTTAGTAGCTAAAAGCTATAAGCAAGAATTTGGTATGGATTCTAGAGAAGTTTTCACTCCTGTTGATTGGCATGATACAATTAGATTAGTGATTGCATTAGCGACTCAAAACTCTTAGCCTATTTTTCAATTAGACGTGAAATCAGCCTTCTTACATGGAGACTTAGAAGAACGGTATTCATTGACCAACCTCCCGTTTATTTTAAGACTCGGAGATGAGTATAAAGTGTAAAAATTAAAAATGCATTACTTAAACTAGCTCCAAGAGCTTGATATAGTCGCTTGGATGCTTATTTTTCTAAGGCGGGATTTAAAAAGATATCCTTATGAGCATACACTTTATATTAAAATTGGTGATGGAGGAAAGATGTTTATTGTGTGTTGATATGAAGATGATTATTTTTTACTAGAAATGATAGTTCTATGTTTGAAAAATTTTAAAAGTCTATGATGGATGAATTTAATATGTCCGATCTTGGAATGATGCACTAATTTCTTGGTATTGAAGTATCACAATCAGCTTGCTAAAATTTTTATTTCTTAAAAGAAGTATGTGCAAGAAATTCTAAATAGGTTTTAAATGAACAATTGCAATTATTTGAGTACTCCAACTAAGTTCGGACTAATGCTAAACAAGGATCATGAAGGAAAGAAAGGGACAACATACTTTACAAACAAATTGTGGGGAATTTAATGTATTTATCTATAACTAGACCGGATATAATGCATTATATGAGTTTGATTAGTAGATATATGGAGAATCCAACAAAGATGCATCTTTTAGCTACTAAGAGAATCTTTCAATACTTGTAAGGAACTAAAAATTTTTGTTGTTCTATAAGAAGGGCACAATGTCATATTTGATTGGTTTACTAATAATGATTATGCAGGAGATCAAGATGATAGAAAAAGCACTTTATGTTGGGTTTGAGAGTTGTTTCATGGTCATCTAAGAAGTAACCAATCATTACTTTATCAACGACCGAAGCCGAGTTTGTTGCAGCCACTTCATACGCATATCAAGCAATTTGGTTGAAGAAAATTCTTGAAGAATTACATTTCAAGCAAAAGGGAGCTATTGCAATTTATTGTGACAATAGTTTAGCAATAAAACTCTCCAAAAAATCCTATTCTACATAGAAAAAGCAAGCATATAGATGTGAAGTATCATTATTTGTGAGACCTTGGCAAGGAAAGAGTTATTGATCTCATTTATTGTAGAAGTCAAGATGAAGTTGCTTACATATTCACCAAACTCCTCAAATTACCAATGTTTCTAAAGCTAAGAAGATTGCTTAGTGTTTGTTCAAAAAATACTCAAATTTGAAGGAGGGTAATTTTACATTTAAACTGGTCGTCTACGAATCAATTTAAGGGATGGAATGTTGAATAAAAGCTAGTAGTTTTTAGTTTGTTCTAGTCTATAGGAGTTTGTTATTTGGTATACTAATATATCAAGATTTTTCGAAACCACTTTTGCATATTCAAATTAGTTGCTATTATTTTGCATTTTATCGTTAATGTATTTCATATTTAAAGGCTATTGGTTAATGAATACTAAAAGCAATAAAGTTTATTCAACTCTTATCTCGTTTCAATTGTCTCTATTTTTCTAACGAGTGTTCACCGTTAGGATGTCCTCTTCTTAGAAAGATTGAATCCGATAAATTTTGTAATACTTAAAGAGTAACTATTATACATATACATTAGTTACTCCATGAGCCCACTTGATAGAGAGATAGACACAAAAAGGAAAGAGAAATAGGAGAGAATTTAAAAAAAAATTGTTGGAGAAAGAAAATTAAAAAAAAATTGAGTAAATGTAAAAATCTTTTTTTCACTTTTGATGTATTCACATGTAATTTTTTTTATTTTTTATTTTTATGTTTATGTTTATGTCTTTTTATAGAGTAAACTCACGGAGTAACTATTTTATAATAGTTACTCCTTGAATATTATAAACTTTGTGAATTGAATCCCATTTTAAAAGTTCCTTTGTAGCTTAACCGGACCTTGCACCTACTTTTGTACAATGAGCAACGCCGCCTATACATACAACTTTATGATCATATAAACAAATTTGACATCGATCATTTAATGTATGGGAAACCCGTAATTCACTATTTATCTCCGACCAAACTATCTTTATAGGGTTTTAGTATGATTTATTTGCACACATCAGTTTCCTTCCACAACTGTGCAATTGTCAATTCAATATAAGACAAATCCATTGACGGAGCACTTGCACTTATTCGATAAACTTTTCACATCGTGTAAATGCATCAGATAAGATTTGTAACAGCAAATTTGATTGTATATATATCATACATATGGATGTGATATTGTTCCTCCAATGATAAAAAAAAATTCCCAAATCACTATTATATTCATGGAAACCAATGCCCACTAGAACTTGACCCATTTGATTTATTTTAGCCAAGAGGTCAACTTTCAAAAGGGTTGCAATTACAGAACATTGAGTTTGATACGTGAGTATTTGGTATGTTTGTCTTATAGTTTAGAGATTTTGTCCTGCTCAGAAATTTGCTGCCGCAAAACCCTTCTCATGACCTTGTTTGATGCAGTCCTTGGAAGAGAAGAAAAGGGCACAACATGAGATATCTGCACGTTTCAGCATTATGAATACAAGTCAATTCCATTTGCTTGGTTTTGAAAGTGAAGGTAGAGATGTGCCGAGCAGAAATTATTAATTACCCTGAACAGAGGATTTAGTTTCTTTTGCACTGCTGAATTGAAAGAAATCCTCAACTTATCCAAGTCAACAGACGAGTCATCTGAATCCTTGAATACAACGGCAATTACCAATTTCTCAGGTCCACCTTGAGGAGGGGGCACACCAATGGCAGCTGTCTCCAGGACATTGTTATCAACTGCATTACATATGCGTTCTATCTCAACAGAGCTAACCTGCCGAAACAGAACCATAAAAAATAAACAAACAGGAAAAACAGAAGAACTATGGGTGATTGATAAAACTGTAATTCTTCAGTCAGTTGAAAACATCCATATCAACTTCAATCACAGTTTCATGCATAACACATGTAGTGCAAGAAGACAAAACTTAAGCAATTCAAACATGATTGATTTGTCATGACTGGAAATCTGTTCGCTATGCTCAAACTTGCAACACCTTTGCTTACAGCTGACTGGGAGATAAAACTCAGTCAGTATACTTGTACTTCAAACAGAATCGCTGGCCAGAAAACAGATTAAAGAATAGAAGTCGGAGTTGAACTATTTAAGCAATGATTTCTTTAAAGGGAGATTTGGTTGCAAGAGATGACTTATGAATCAAAGAAAGATAGGGACAGGTTGATATGATGGAGGCAGATAAGAGATTAGCTTGTCCAGCTTTACTGGGCTTTTGCAAGGGAAGGTAACGATGTGCTTTATCTTCCTATAATGTTTTATGCGTCTGCAAAACACATAATAGCTTTACAAGGATTTTATTCAATCAAAGATAAATGCACACCTTGATACCCCCAAGATTCATTGTATCATCTGCACGTCCATGTGCATGATAATAACCTTTAGAAGTACGCTCAAAAACATCCCCATGCCTTCGAAGAATCTGCATGAATGAAATCAAAAGTTCCCAACTCAAGTGGCTGCAACACCAAACTAGTAGAAATATACAGAGGAGCACTTACTTTTCCGTTCCAAACGGGCATTCCCTTAAAATAAACATTGTAATGGTCAGCATTCAGCAGTGTACTTGAAGCTCCAAACATGAGAGGCCCAAGTGCCAGTTCACCCAATCCTGGTACATTTTCTGGCTGTGCTTGAAGAAACAGGAAAGGTGAGTTATCAAATTGTTCACTGGAATATTGGCAAATTCCTATAATTAGTGAATTTATAAGTTCAGAAGAACTATTTTGTCAAACTAGAGATGTTTAAAATAAAGTATTAATCACAATGAAGCCAAATAACAAACTTGTAAGCGATTTTTTTTTCTTTTAATTAAGGGGAAAAAAAAAAGAGATTTTCCTTCAACAAAGTCTTAAGCATGACACAGCACGAATTTAGGAGTGCCCTGGTTTGGAAGGATTCCAAACTAGAATAATCGGCTTAAATACTTTGTTATTTCATACTAATTGCAAAAATTTCTTTTTGTTAGGATAACAATTAGAAAATGTGCTGAACAGAAATGCATAACCACTCGTGCATAGTATTTCTGAGGTGCACAGATTTAAAAAATTTGAGTACTACACCAAACTTCCTTTACTGCTCTTGATATAACTAATAAGGACTAATATTTTCTCAATTAATGTAGGTGCAATAATGCTCACTATGGGACGACCGTCATCACCAAGAATAAACAAGCTGCATCCCATTGCTGGAGTGCTAAAAGCAGCCAGTGATTGAGGCTGCAACAAGGACCCTGAAACAAATCCACCACCAATCTCTGTGCCGCCACAATATTCGATAATAGGTTTGTACTGAGCTCTCCCCATCAACCATAGGTACTCATCTACACTTGATGCTTCACCGGTGGAGGCAAAGCAACTACCATATTTGACAAAACCATAATGAATATATCTTGAATCAGTAACAGGTAAAAGAATCCACAATACACATAAAATCTTCAATCAAACACAAAAACACAAATAAGCCCTTGCATATCTACAGCACTTTACAAAGTGAGAAAATTTTTTGAAACTTATACTTACCGAATGGCAGACCAATTATAGCTTGATGCAGAGTTTGCACTTTTCCATGTCCGGACCATACTTGGGATCACACCAAGCATTGTCACTTTAGCATCCTGGCCAAATTGTAGGAGAAATTTTATACAAACTTCAAATATTCTCAAATTCTTAAAGCATACAGAATATTTTAATCAATATTACCTTTTCAAATCCTATGTATTTCAAAACATTCTCTGGAAAATTCTGTCTGAAAAAAACAAAAATAAAAGATTCTCTTGAAAAGAAATCAGGCCTTTGTCTAACCATTTAACAAATGACTAATCTAATTAACACATGAAAAGAGCACATGCATAATTGCTTTTCACACTAATGTCTTTCCATCCAAGTTTTCCACCATTACATTATGTATTGTTTCCTTGCTTAGCTAAAAAGAGAAGTTCACTTGAGAAAAATTCTGTTTTCTGAGTCAACTAAATTTAAATTCATATATACTTCCCAAATTTAATCGATGTGATATACAACATGATTATGAATAATCTGCAATTCCTTTTTTAAAAAGGATTTTTTATTTAAAATCATAAAATTAAGAGAAGTTTTTTGTTCCTTCTCATTGCATAAGAATTTTTAATTTTTAAAAATCACAGGATTCAGCAGGGGAATCTAGTTTAAGAAGTGACTTGTAACATAACAGGTTTCTGAAGAAGAAACCAGAGGGTGTAACAGTAACTTAAATTAAATCAACAATATCTTTGGTAGAATGTAATCAAAGTTAAAATGTAATTTGATTACATTACAATTTTGATCACACTCTTTGGTTACTCTTTTAACATGTCATGGAATGTACTAGTGATTGGAACTGTAATGCTCATCAAATTAGAAGTTTTGATGGTGATTACATACAAGTAGTGTAACAACAATTGCAATTTCAAAAAATTAAACAAAAACAATTATTAAACCATGATTAAGAAAAATTGAAGAGCATAATTACATTTCTCAAACAATTTCTTGCAAAAGATAAATAGAGTTATAAAAATGATTATCTCACCCATCTTTAGAGTATAATGACATTAAAACATGTAATCACTGTTCCAAAAACTTAAAGGCATTAGTTCAAGAAAAGATTAACTTTAATTTCATTTTCTAACGGATTATATCAAACATGAATAATTTCATTATGATAGCATTGAATTTGAGTAACCAAAGAAAGGAATGAAATGATCATGTTCTTCGTTACATTACATTACAATGTATTAAACATAATGCAGGTGTAATTTTTAATAAACTGTTTTGAGATTCAGTCTCTCTCTCTCTCCACATTGATGAGAAGTTACAACCACAGGCCAAAAACTTTATAATACCTATACACAGGACTACAATAGAGGGAGAGAAAGGCTCATTGGAAGTTTTTGGTAAGAAGACTCCTGAATCATCTATGGCTTAAAGTTATTGAAGGAATTAATTTTAACAGAAAATGCAGAGATAACAAAGAATTCAATTTTCACAACCTTTGGCCCAAAGGTTGTTATCAAAAAAGAGGACTGCAAATGGTCTATAATGATCTGGACAGTGAACACATAAATAACACTAGATATTGGAACATGAAGTTCAACTAAGAAGTCATATAGCAACAGAGAAGACAGGATTGAGAAATATTAAATAGACAAATGAGAATGGAATTCTTACCTGTACAAACTTGGCAAAGCCAGGACCAAGAGGGGATCCATTATACAAAGCAATGGACGCCCCATTTAATAATGAAGCATACACTAGCCAAGGACCCATCATCCACCCAAGGTTAGTTGGCCAAGCAACAATATCACCTTTGCGGATATCCATGTGGCACCATGCATCAGCAGCAGCTTTCAAAGGAGTCACGTGGGTCCATGGAATTGCTTTTGGCTCCCCTACATGAGCAAATGGTCCCATTCACACTTGTCACTAAGAAATTGAAACCTTTCTCAGTTTTAGTGTCAGTTTTGAAACCTCTGGAATTGAATTAACAGTTTTTCTGAATTGTGCACAGTTAGGTTAGGTTCTGATGTATATCCTATTGATTTACAGAATCGAAGGTTATGGTAAACAGCAATGATTGAATTAAATCCAGAACTTCAAAAACTTTGGAGGAAAGAAGTTATCAAAGATCTTGTTAAGTCAAAGACCGGCACCAACTTATGATTTGGTTTCTGATGTTAGATTACAGATCTAAGAACAGTTGTAACGAATTTGTGTTAGTTTCTTTACTTGGAATCATAAACCACCATTTTAAGTTCTTCAGGCTGCTACGATGAGTGCTAAGAACTGTGCCAAATTGGAGACATTGTGTAGAACATGCTAAAACCACAGAGGAAAATAAGAAGAAAATAATATCAAAAGCTATTGTAGGTCAATTTCCCCTTCATGATAGATGTTAAAAGGATGGTGATTTTACCCACGTGATCAATGAAGTAGGCATGCAATTACCTTGCATACAAATCAAAACCGGAAAGTTTAAACTGTCTTCTGGCATGAAAAACCAGAAATCCATCAAAAATTGAAAATCCTTCAAGTGATAATATAGAAATAGTGTACACAATAATAGGGTTATAGAAATTAACTAACAAAACTAAGCATGAAAAGACAAGAACCAGTATCAAGTAACCACCTGTCCTTCCACATTTCCAGAGAGTCCACCACAACTTCAAATTTACAACAATGATCTTATTTGATTACCCCAAAATTATGAAATACCTAATCCATTGCAATTAGAAGGCATATTATGATTTTTAGTTATTTAAAAACAGTTTTTAAAAAGATTTAGCAATTAAGATTAAAAAAAATAGCAACTTATGTCATTATTATTTAACTAAAGACATGAAACAAAATATCTCATCTTGCTCAAACAATTAACATTTGAATGTAACAATAAAATAAAAGAGCGAGAAAGCATAACAAGCCTAAAATACCCGCAAGTTACCTGTAGTTCCAGATGAAAAAAGGATATTTGTAAATGCTTCTACTGGTTGTTCAACGGCTGGAAATTCAGCTCCTCTGCAGTTTTGATGTTACAGATGACCATGCATAGCATCAACAGCAGAAATTCATAAATGGAAAGTTCAATCTAAGGAAATTACTTATCACGAAGCTCTTTGACAAATTCCTATTGATAGTTTACTAAAGAATTGAGAAATGCGAAACAGAACGCAGTTGATATGCAATTCCAACAAGAAAAAAGAAAGAAACAAGATATAATTTTTCTTCAGTTTTTTCCCACCTGTTTATAATTCAGCATCTCACAAAGACATTCTTAAAGTTACAATCAACCAAACAGCCTACAGTTTGCATAACTATACTCATGCAGTTTCCAAAAAGGAACTACTTGGATTTGCTCTTCTCATTTCAACACTCAGGAGAAGTGAAACTATTCGACACAAGTAGCAATTGAAAAGCATATATAACCAAACTAAATAATGCAACGTTAAAAATAATGAACTTGACATAAGGGGGCGTTTGGCATGTGTATTCTTAGATATCCTTCTAGAATGTGATTGCTGGGAATGTGATACCTGTGTTAGGTGGAAACCAAAAATTCCTGGCAATGTGTCTTTATTGTATTTGGTTCATTCATGGAAATTCATGAGGAATTTAAATAAGTTTAATATTTTACCCTTGAGATTTAAAATATCTAATTTGTCGACACCATATATTTTTTTTACTAAATATTTTGCACATAAACACATATATAATATATTAATTACATTTAAAACCAATTTGTGAACATGATAATTTTTTTCTAAATAATTGTGCACATAAACACATATATAATATATTAGTTACATTTAAACCAATTTGTGAATATTATATTTTTTTCTAAATAATTATCCACGTAAACACATAGATAATATATTAATTACATGTAAAACCATGTGTTAAAGTGTTACGGTAATTGTGTTATCATTGATAAAAGTAAAGGGATCTTGGTCCATTTAAAATAAAAAGTAAGGGCATTAAAGTTCAAAAAATAAAAATTTTACATTCCCTCTCAGCAAGGAATGTGATTCCCAACATTTTAGAAGGGCATCACATTCCTAACTTTGGAGGGAATGTGATGTCCTAAGACATCTCAAATGTCTTGGCATCAACATTTCTTGACAAAACAAACAAAAGTATCCTTGGCATCTAACATTGTTTTGGTAGGAAAATCAAAGATATCCCTACACCAAACAGTCCTAAGGAATTACTTCTCCATGACCCTTGGAGTAATTTAAATCAAACAAGATGACTCCTATCATTGGGTTAAGCAAAACATGAAAACTTCAAGAAAATATTTCACAGAACTTTGTAATTCTTGTTTGAGACACTAATGCGTCTATGGATTCATTGGCTTTCTGTCTTAAAGTCCCAAAATATCTCATCTTAGTTGCTTATCTGGAATAAATATCATGCATCTCCAAATTATGAGCAAGAGCAAGCATAATACAATATATTATAAATTTAATCAATGTGAAGCTTAAAAACAAGCTACAGTTAATTCCTATTTAAAGTTGAAAATATAGAAAAACAGAAAGGAGAAATGTATAGACATTAGATGACATTGATTTGGGTTGGCCTGACATATGTATTGAAAGAAAACTAAGAACACATACCTTAAATCCGTTGCTTTTTCTAGGAAATTATGCCAAGAAATGTCACCATCACGCAAGTTCATGCTGAAGCTAGAGCCTTTGGCAGGAATGACAATTGCCATTGGTGCTTGAGCATCCACAACTCGACTGCAGAATTGAAGTCATATAGCAAGATAAACTGTCATAGATAAATGCACGAACATGAATATTAAACTATATGAATAAAGAGTAACGAGAATTTCACCTGTACAATGGAATACTTTTATCACCACGAATTATAAGATCCTGAGGAAAAAGATTTTGAAGAATGAGATGAACATCAAGGACCATATGCTTACATGAGGACAGGATAATAATCATAACATCATACGGAGAAAATAAAAATGGATAAATCAGAGCAGATCACTTCAGAGAGAATTACTTTCTGATTTTTTATTTTATTTATTAGAACTATCTATAAAAATAAAAACTAAAAAAAATTAGTTATAAAAATAATTAAATAGAATTGCTTCCACGATGTTTACTAACCTAAGAGTTCTGAATACTCACACTAATATTGAGATGCAAAAGCCCTTTATTTTTCCATAATCTCCAAAGCACAAACTTATCGTAAATTTACTTAGTACTATAACAGTCTCTATCAAGTGAGGATAAAAGAGGTAGAACTTGAATGCTTTTTGATAGGTAGAGCAATAAATAACCCGGGGACAAGACAATAGCATTGCACAAAATCCCACTGACAGATTATTCATCCTTCTTAAATATATTATTCGACCCAAAAATGAATCTTCAGCAATGATACAAACATGAATGGCCAGTACCGACTTAGGAACAGTCCCTATTCAGTTTCCTTATGTTGTGAACCAAAAAGGATAGCAACATATTACATGACTAGAGATTAATAGACTCTCGCAAGTTTAATGCCTCAGTGACCAACTTAGAGGATATGAATTTTTATTTAATAATAGAAATGTTTGAAATCTGAAAGTAATTCCATAAAGTGAGAAGCCTTTGAGTGTTAAAGATCTTCATGGTATCCTATGTTATTGATTTATAGTCTCCTTTGACTTCTAATACAGATGGTTAATCAGAGTTGGTTCCACACAAGTTCTCCTGACATTTGCTGCAAACAATGAGTCAACTATATTTTAAGGAACTTCATTAAATATATCCTATAATGCTACGCTTCTTACGAAAAGGTGAAAAGGAATAACCTAAATCAGAGCAGCTTGCAATTGTAGATGTAACTTACCATTGAAAGATATTATGCTTACAACAAAAACAATTTTGGGCAAATTTCTTCTTTTTTAAATGAGATAACGGGCACCATAGTCTTAAAAATCCCCCCACCCCACAACCGATCCATGTAATTATACAAAGATAAAGTTAGGGTTTGCAGAGAACTCATTCAAGTGAAATGTATTAGACAAGGAAACATAGACTTAAAAATCCGTAGGTTACTCCACAGCTTGAGAAAATTCGAGAAGCACAAATATATCAACAAAAAATCTGAATGTTTCTTATTCCTACAGAAGGAAAGAAATTATTACCTGAGTAAATATGGCTTTTGCTTCTGAAATTTTAAGCCTTGTTGATATTTCAAGCGGAGCAAAGCTATCAGCAATAGATACAACTACATGTCCTGCCAGAACAATAGCAAGGTAGATAATTACAGACTTCACATTCATTGGCATATCAATTGCAATTGCAGATCCTCTGTCCAAACCAAGAGCATTGAGTGCATATGCAACTAACCTGCAAGTTGTAGGGTAAGGAGAAATTTGCTTCAGACTGGGTGAAAGTTGGATGAAAAAAATGTAAGAGAAGAATACCCACAAGTAATGAATTTAGCAGAAGTCAAATAAGCCCCAGGTAATTATCTCTAACTTCATATATCTTAGCACATCAGAAAGAACTATGCTTCGGTAAATTACTTCCAATAAAATATTGCACTGGTTGTAAATGATGAAATATTAAAATACTCCTAATACAACTCACATCAACCAAGTCTTAAACCCAACTAAATATAATGGAGCACGTGAATCTTTTTCTGTCATTTTAACCATATCTAAAGCAATAAATACAAAACAGTGTATAAAGGCAGTATAATTACAGGACAAGCAAAGCAATGGTATGAGGTCGAAACCATATTAGTAGATTGACAAAGTTATTCCACTTCCTACTTTAAAGCGGGTCATTGCATGGGGTGATAGAATTACAGCATTGTAACATCTTTTTTAAAGAGGGGCCATTTCCATTTTCCACCAAACAGTTAATGCATCCAACTTATGGCAATGAAAATTTATCCTACAGATAAAACAACTCGTATTACACAAAACTTATAAGATGAAAACCAGCATACCAAACCTCTGAACGTAATTCCTTGAGTGTCATACTGCTTACAGGCAAATCATCATTTCCTTCACCACGCCATCTTATTACAACATCATCCAGAGTTCTCTTACAATTCACAGTCAAACAATTTTTTGCAGGATTTACGTATGCTCCAGGAAGCCATTGACCACCTGGGTTTGCCAAGGAACTTTCTCTAGACGGATTCTCGATTAAAATACATTGGGGAGGAACCAAAAATGATATACCTATTTCATCAAGTACAGTTTTCCAATACACCTGACCAGCAAAGACATAGGAAACCACACCTAATTGAATCATGGCTCAAGTTTGACAAAATAAAAGGGGAAAAAAGCCATGAAGATGCACCGACAAATTCATGCACAAATCCTACCTCAGGGTTCAAAACTGAAAATTCTTGAAACTGAGAGAAACTTGATATGGGATCCTTGTATCTAGAACCCAAAAACTCTTTTCCAAGCCTCTCTAAGAGCTGGCCCACATTTGTCAGCATTGCAGTCTCCCTGTCCACACAACAAGTAACAGCATCAAACTAACTGGCATGCGTAACAAAATAAAATGAGAATAAAAGGGCCAGACAAAGACAAGCACAGGGATAACCTGGCATGTCACTTTTCAGTTGTTCTCTCCCTCTCTCTTTTCATAATTTCAAGAACTAAATTGGTCGCACCATGGTTCAAAACCTATAAATTTGCTTGTTCTGCCTCTTTTAAAAAGTCTTAATGCAATTCCAGCAACATATCTAATACTAAGAGATACATTTCATTGACTAGTCTGAAATTGGTAGCGCTACTTCAAACAAATATTACATTAACCATCCGACAAAGTGCAACTTTAACATCAAGAGATCATTCTGCAATGGAACAGCTAAAAAATTAATGTATTCATTATTATTACAGCAAGTCTTGAGGGTAAATGCTACAACATTTTGATTTTTTTTTTTTTTTTTTTAAAGCTGCCAGCATGTAGAATTATTATTGAAATGAATCTCAATCTTAACATGATATATGAAAAATTAATCAACATATTTGTTCCCTTTCATGAAGTAATACTAAATGTGGCTTTGAGCTAATAATCGACAGGACTAAGTATGAGACGTAATGCTACGGTAACATGAGCATGTGTCGACTGCCACATCAGCAATGATGTTGCCATGAACAGGGCATAAGATATCATAAGGGACTTGCTGACTAGACATGTTCACATTAATATAGTTGATGACATGACAGTCGAAATGTATATTATATCACTCAACCATGCTTCCTAATGTCGACATGATTGTCATGATGACATGGTTGCTCTCGTGCGACATGATCCACAATCATTTTTTAAAACTGATATAATTACCAATTACCGCACACTCTGATGATGGAGATAAATTTAAATTTGTGAACTTTTATCAAAATTTAATCTTTGATTATTTAGTTTCTGCACTTTGAAACATGATGAATCAATCAAGTGCATCCGTTTCAAAATTAACTCTCTCATGAATGCTAAACTATTGCCATACGAGAGGAATTTCTTCCAACACGTACTGGATTGATCTATTTCTAAATGTACAACAAATTAAATAGAAAAACTGAAAATATAAAACTTCAAACAGAAATCTAACAAATCATAGGTGTTGAATTTGTGATTATCCCCACATTTCTCTATTTGTCACCTTCAGTTGAAAAAATTTACTCAAGGGTTATTTGGTGATCAAGAAGGAACTGTTGGGAATGGGAAGCTAACGTTGCATACAGTGAAAAAATAAAAAAGAATACATAAATAAACAGATAACCGAATTGGTTCAGAGTAGAAATGGGTAGCGATAAAAAGTCTTACGGGTCGGGAGACCAAGCAGGCGGGTCGGGGCCAAAGTCCTTGAAGCAGCCGTAATACATCATCTGATGGAAGGAGAAAGGAAGATGAGGGTGAAGTAGACGTTTGGAGATGTGAGTCCATGTTTGAGGAGAGGCAGGGCCACAAGTAGCGATGATTTCAGATATATCTTCGTAAAGTTTGTTTGCTGTTGATGAGGAAATCCCAAGAGCTTCGATATCTGATACAGAGATGGAGTCTAAAGCTTTGTAGTGTAAGGAAGCCATTAATTTCTGGTAAGAAAGAAAGAGGTTTGATTATTTAGAGAGAGAGAGATTAGATAATTTTTTGTGCAGACAGTTGTTGCTCAGGCTTAGGGTGTGGGTGAGACATCAATCCACTCTTTTAGGTAGGTAGTCCACTCCAGCATTTTAAGTCAAGTTTTGTAATTTTTTTTTTTTTTAACACTCCCAATCATTTTTTAGGTTTTTCAGGTAGCAGTAGAAATAGCACAGAGACTATAGTCTTTGTATCTATCCCATTTCCGTTTAAAATAATAAATACGTAATAATAGATTCGTGAAAATTTATTTTAGTATATAAAGATTACGTACTGTGATGGGTGATTGTGGAAGTTTCTACAAGTTTTTATGCATTGATGTCTATATGTGCTTCCTTTTTTCTTATCAAAAACATTAAAGGAATTCTTTTATATACATGTGGAAAAATTATAGTATCTAATTCTTATTAATCTCAGATCTAAGGGAATTGGTTTGAGAAGAAAAAATTACAATTGATTAAGTAAATAATTTTAAATTCAAATCTTTATATAGGTAAAAAACTTTTTTAAACAGTTGTGTCTATTTAGTATATTCGACTAAATAATAAAAAATTGGTTTAGAATTTTGGGTTTAAAAAATTGGGTATGTAAAAAATTGGGTAGAATTTTGATTGTGTTCTATTAGGAAGCTTTTGCTATGTTGGAGTAGACATAATTGGATTTGGTGCACATATTGGACTGAGCAAAAATTAATCTTTATTCTATCAAAAGTTGCCCTTAAAATAAAATTCTTGTGTCACCTCACCTTCTACAATGATTTTTATTTTTATTTTTTATTCATTGTTTATTTATCGCTCATTTATTTTTGAATTTAGTTAATTAAAGTTTGACTAAGTTTACCTATGTTTTATTAAAAGCAATTTTGCATATAGGGACTTAACTACAAAACACAATTCTCATTTAAGGACTAAATTGCATGTACTAAAAACATTAGATGACCAGTAATTTTTTAAATAAAGAAAAAAAATGTCATGAAAATAGAATATAGAGGCTAAAAAGAATTTGTTGAAAAGATTTTGGAAACCAAAATGAACTTTCGAAAAAACTTCATCATTCATTGTCTTGTTACCGAACATGAGGTAACAACATTTACTTGTCCGTTTATTTCACTTAATAAAATTTATTCATGTTCCATTTTAGAACTTCATTTTTTTTTTTTTTTCATTTCGATCACTAGATGCTCAAAATATAGAAAAAGAAATAGAGAGAAGAAAGGAGAGAGAGATGGTGAGGTCCATTCTGATCATCTTTAACATCAAAATTACTTTCAATTTATTTATCTTAGAAAAGACAATTTGTTTATAATGATCACACATTATGAAATGATTGAACGTAATTGATCGAGATTTCAAATAATTTTAAGATTTTTTATATTGATTTGATTTTTGATGTATTTTGCGTGCATTAAAAAAAAATTGAAACCGTAAAAGAGTGTATAGACTTTATTTATGTGATTTTGATATGTTCTTTGGGCAAAAAGATTTTGAATTTGGGTTAAAAAAACCGAAAATACAAAATTTTGTTTTTTCTGGTTAGCTAGAACTAGCGAGAAATTTTAGACGGACGACACGACATCTACTGAATTAGAGACGACGACTAGTCGTCTATATTCTATTTTCCTTTTTTTTTTTCCTGAACACTGCACTGCATGGGCTTGGAAGCAAGCCTAGGCATGCAAGCTTGGGCCTAGGCCCAAGAATGGATCCGGAAGCAGGCCCAAGCGCGTGGGCTTCTGTTTAGCTTTTTTTTATATATAATTTCTTTAATATTTTTATTTAGAATTTTTAGGCAAAAATTATAAAATATCGAACATTATTTTTTGTATTTTTCATGGAGCTTTGTGAGGATTATATATATATACTTTTATTATTTAAAATTTATTTCTTCTATTTCTCTTTTTTTTTTTAATGAAAATTCCCATATGATGAATTTTTATTTTTTTTATAAAATTTTATTTGTTAGTTTCTTTATCTATAGATTTTAGAATAATTTTTTTAGAACATATTTAAAAATATATATATTATATAATTTATATCATGGATTCTTAGAATTTTTAAATGATGGTAATATTATTATAAATATATGTTTAACGTAAAGATTTAAAGTATATTTTAAATAATTTATCTCTGATTTCTTTAATTGTAATTCACACACACTCTCAATCTACTAAATATAGTTATGATGTATAAAAAATTATTAAATCATCAAGTTTATCAAACATTAACTATATATTTATGCACATAACACCAACCATTTGCTATCATTTTTTTACAAACATAAAAATAATTTATTTGAAATAAAATAATTGAAATAATATTTCAAAGGAACCACCAAATGATTCAAATATAGTTTTTTAATATGAATATTATTGATTATTTTGTGAGTAAATATATATAAATTAAATGTATATATTTTTAAAAAATAATAGTTTTATCAGTATCAAATAAATAAAAATATTATTCTCTGATACAATCTTATGAAAAATATATTTTGATGGCATGTTTTTCCATTTTAGATAAAAAATTTTAAATTTAAATTGTTAATAATTTTTATTTAAGAATCAATGTATAGAAAAGAACAAATCATTTTTTTTTTGGTTTAAAAAATATATAAAAAAAAAACACAAAGAAGAATTATTTAAATACAAAATTTTAATGAAAAAAATATAAATTTTAGTTTTTTTATTTTTATTTTTACCTTTGATTAGTTACGTTTGGAGATATCCGAAATATTTTGTGAACTATCATACTGAAATATTTTGTTCCGCCTGATCAGCCACATAGGGCGGGCAATGCACTCTAATGATTGAAACAAACAAGTAACAGCGAAAACAAGGATAAATGGATGAGAAATGAAAACACTAGAACTGATTACAAAAAGTTAATTACAAGACATGTTTCTACATGCCCATTGATCTTAACCCAGATTGCACATTCGTGCATTTCTAACCAGATAGGAGGGAAAAAAAATTAATCGCCGCCAGGAAGCAACTTTGAGCTGGTTGTACCAAAACGTCCGGCTGCTACCGGGATTATTCGCGATGGTCTGAAAACCTCAGCAAAAGATATATTATATGAATCCACTCCTAACCGACTTTGTAACCATCCTCTGCCTCCAGAAAACCCACCAGAAACAGTCCAGCAGTTCTTGAAACCCAAACTTGTTAGCACTCTGGCAACTATCTTTGCTGAATCTGAGTACCTGAACATTTTAAAGCATTGAAGATGGAATACATGATGAGAAAGAGAGGAGTGGATAAGGTTTACAACGCAGACTTTATATCACGGATTGAAGACTCGCAAGGAAAAAGAACTCACGAGTCCATGATGACAATGTTGGAGCCTTTGTTAATTTTCTTCAGATATGAAATCTTTAAAGCTGCTATTTCAGCTTCTACTTTCTTGACATTTCTGACGAGGCCTTTCAATTTGCTTGGCAGTTCCTCCAAACTGAAACATTTGCAGCAATAATAATTCAGGAAAAGTAAAAGACCTTTGTAGACGGTAACGATGTTAACAAGGCTAAAGAGGAGATAAGAATGTCCGTCCGCCATTTTTCCAAATTATGTTTTTTCGAAGGGAAATGAAAGCAAATGGAATGCAAAAATTTAGCTTTCTTCACCATTGTTTTCTATCTGGACAAAGGGCATGTTAAAAGTCAAAAGAGAAAAGGTGTAGTAAAGGAACAAGCTTAATGATGCATTATGCCCCAGCCACCTGAAACCACATGACAGGCAATATGAACTGAGATACGCGAGAGCTAAGCTTACATTTGTCATGAAATTTGCAGCTCTATTATTCTTCTCTTTTAATTTTTTTTTTTTTTCCGTATCAGAAAGTGAAACATATACTTGGAGACAGAAATTTTACTCACGGAATTGCAACCATCTGGTTCTTAGCACTGGAGGGAAGGCGTGGGATGCCAGCCTTGTTCTTGTCTTTCTCTGATCTAATGTCGATCATAATGTACTTTTTGGTCGACATCAGATCAAGGGTTTGGGCTGGAGTAAGCTCACCTACAGGGTCAAATATCGATACGAATTAGCCCACTTCGAAAAAACAGCTTCCCATAACATGAAAATTAGAAGAAAGTCATGCCAAGAAACACTGAAATCACTATCAAGCTACCAAGTGAAATGCTGATTGCATCTAGAGGTAAATGAATCAAATTATTAAGTTATTTCACATTTCTTGTTCAATCAGGAGATTTCACATAAAGAAAGCGCGAGTAGAATAACGAAACAGCAAATTCACCTTTGTAACCACGCAGGTTGAATGAGATAGCAGACCATACGGGTGGAAAGAGGAGGTATACTAGAAAAACTGCTCCACCAGTTCCTACAATCACAACAGGGTCTGCCGATGTAATGGTTTCAACAGTCGATGAAGCCACGGGCTTCACCTCTTCAATTACCTTAGTTATCTGTTGAGCAGCACTTACTACTGTCTGCGATCAAAGTGTCATAAATTTGATGAAAGTAAGCAGAAATTTTTACCAAATTGTCATTATACTTCTGAAGAAACCATAATGACGATTAAATTGAAATGGAGATGAGGTAATTCAAATTCTAAGCTGCCATTGTTAGAAACAAATGCTGGAGACAAAAGAGAAGAACTCCCAAGATGATCAAAAAAGCAAAATTCCCATGTAGAGCACAACTGATCTTCTAAAAACAAAAATCGCTGGATTCAATTGAATTTATGTAAATATTAAATTGACACCATAAAGTTCCAGGAAAAGCTTAATAAGCAATCGAAGGACTCAATTTCTAAACAATGAAACTCAACAAAAAACTAATAATTGAAGGGGGTAAATGAGGCTAGAAAATTGTTAGTTCAAACCTTGGCAACACCAAGAACTGGCTCTATGTCAATAGCAGTACTTTGAATAGCTTCTAGGGCTTTCTTTGAGGCCTCAGAAATTGCAGGAGAAGCAATCTTAATTGCCTGTTCTCCAGCTTGCTTTGCAATTGGTAATGCAACATCTATGCCAGGCTTCAGGGTATTACTGACACCTTCGAAAACTCTCTGTGCACTGTCCAACACACTTGAACCAAAGTCCACAACCCGATCAATTGCATTCTCCACCTATCAAACACAACCAATTTCAACAAATGCGCAATCAAACAGAGACAGTAGAAATGAATTTAAAGAAAGAAAACAACTTCAAGACTTTGGTTGACTAGGAATTTGCTTGTCTTTTATTGTCTTAATTACAACAAAAGCATATCAAGAAAGATTGTGGGAGTGGTGTTCTTACATCAGTGAGTGTAGAGACAACCTGGTCCTTGGAAATAGTGAGAGCTTTGGCTTCATTGGGAGGTGTAAAGAGAGCCAAAAGAGAGATGGTTAATGTTGAGGTTGGCAGTGATACAGAGATGGGTCTCCACTGATGAGGTTTAAAGAAAGAAGGTTTGGCTGTTGAAGAAGTTGAAGGAGGAGAGAGTCTTGCTGTAACTGAAGATCTTATGGCCATCTCCATTGCCATCCTCTGGCCACAGAAATGGAAAGAGAGGAGAAGGGAGAGTGTTTTGTTTCGGTTGTTGAATGACCGGCTGGTTGACGGATGGGCAAAGGCTGGATGATTGTGTGATAGGAAATTAACAGTTGAAAAGTAAGGAATTTTTGGCCAATAAAAAGCAAAACTCATTGGGCCCCATCAATATCTACGTGCCTTTTTATTTAAAGAATTCACTGCACCCACCCACACCTCTCTGCATGTTGCACCCTCAGCGCTCAGCTCTCAAGTTCCAAATTTCAGATCCATATGCATTATGCGATCCAAATTCGACAAAACTAGTGATCCTTCTTTTTTTTTTTTTTTTTCCCTAACAAAAATATTGAATATTTAAGGAGTATATTATAAATTAGTCCCTTTAGTTTTAAGAAATAAATTAATTAACCCCTTTTATTACAAAAAAAATATCATTTAATCTTTTAATCAATGTTAACATACTTAATTTAATAATATTTTTATTTCATATAATCTCTTTTTTTTCATATTTTTTTTATTTTTTAAAAAATAAAAATAAATTAAAAAATAGAAAAAAAACTAAATTACAAGTAGATTTCAAAACACGAGCACTAAATAATTAATTTTTTTTAAAAAAAGACTAATTAATTTATTTTTCAAAATCAAAGGGACTAATTTATAATTTACTCAATATTTAAGGAATTTATTAGTTAATTTTTCCCCGTTGTTTTGGATCCACTTGTAAAATTTATTTAATTTGTTTTAACTAACTCAAATCAAAATTTGAACAAATAAAATAAAATTTGCTTCTTCTTTTTTTTTTTTTTTTTTATCATGCATTGACATAATTTCAAATATTAAGTTTCATTATTTTAAATTCAATTATAAATTTATATAGACAAATAATAAAATTAAGAAAAATAAAACATTTGATATGCTTATTTTAACATAAAAGAATAATAAAAAAAAAGTCTTTTAAGGCTTGGTCGAATAATTAATGGTCAACATTGAAGTAGGAATATTATCAATTAAAAATTAGCATAAAATAAAAAAATAAATATTAACAATTAATTATTTAGTACTAGTACTTTTTTGGTTCTAAATGCTATCCTATTTGCTGGGAAGGAATTTTTTCTTAAAAAAATTGGTGATATATTCATTTTTTTAACATTTATTATTATAAAAATATTTTAAAAGATATGGATCTTAAATTGATAAATTATTAATCATCAAATATTTATCATTAATAAATTATCAATACATGGCATTGATATGGAGGGCATCGGCATACGGTTGCTTTGTTGGAAATTTGAAGAACATTTGGTACCAATTCCATCTTTAATCTAATTGTTGATTAAGGAACGTTAAGTATATGGTAAAATTAAAAAGTTTGATTATAGTATTTGATGAAATTTTACTTTTTGTTGGAATATTTTCTTCTTATTCTTCCCTTTCTATTTCCTTCTAATAATAAACAGAAGATTATCTAAAAAGAAAAGTCATATCTATTGAGAAATTAATTCATTGAAGTTATTAGTGAAATGTTATTTTAATGTAAATTGGCAGATCTCTTTCAATTAATATTTAGAAAGGATACTATAATGTTTGTTCAAGAATATTATAAAACCATTCCTAGAACTTCGCTTATTAGCTTAAATTTTTGGGTTGAAATGATTCTTTAATGTGGTATCAAAGTCTTGATGACTAAATAGTCACGAGTTCGAATATCACCATCCTAATTTCTCTTCTAATTAAGCACAAGGTAGTGATGCACATGTGCAAGCTTCAAGCCTAAACGCTTTCGGTTGAAAAGTTGTGTTAAAGAGTAATATAAAATCGTTTTTGAGACCTCATCCGTTAACTTAAGCTTTTGGGTTGAAATGGTTCCTTAACAATATTGACATTAAAATCCTTGATTGACATAAGTTCAATGTGCTCAAGAAAGTAAAGGCTGAGTTTTTATTTATGCAACGAGTTAAAGGTTGATTCTTATTTATGTTCATTTGTTAATGATAGTTTCCATAGAATCTCAAGTAGCTCCAATCTAGACTATCAATTGATCAAATTCAAACTGGATCATAATATATCCGGATGCTTTTTGTTTAATAAAATAATAGGTTACATTTGTTATTTTCTAAAAGAGTGACATCTCATATGTTGCTATTCGATATATTGGATTTTAAGACTTCTAGTTAAAAAAAAAAGTTAAAGAAAAAGAGTCGTCATCTAGTTTAGAGAACTAGAAAACCTAATTCTATCGGCCTTGCTAAAATTATGGGCAAAGAGTTGGTTATATTTATTGGAAGAACGATCACCCAAAAAAATTCTTTATGTTACCAAAATTGATTTACTCCTAAGTCATTATCTAAATGTCATTTTAGGCTTGAAATTTGGAGTTGTGTTAATTTAATATTAGATCTAGTTAAGCCTTGGCATGATTGTCATGCCGGAAACATACAAGCCAATGGGGACCAATTAAATTGGTTAAGGTTTATCATGAAATTGTATTAAATCAACATCGAATCCTAAAATCAAAAGTCACATCAATTTAACATTGGATCTAATTGAATTCTCACATGATTGTTATGCTAGGAACATCAAACTAAGTTTTATTATGAAATCTTATTAAATCAACATCGAGTCCCGAAATCAAGAGTCACTTCCATTTAACATTGAATCTAGTTAAGTTGTCACATGATTGTCACGTTATGAACATCTTAGCAAACTAAAAGGCCACCAATTAATCAAAACTCGGATCATAGATGAAAAATTTCTCATACATACTATCATATATATTTTTTAAAAGAGTTTTGAAATCTCACAAGTTCCTAATAATAGGAGACTCGTTGACCCGAGTATGAAATCTAAAAGCCAAAATCTCATTTAAAACTTATCCATTTGCGAACCAACAATTATATTAAAACATCACATACACAAACATCATATATATATATAACAAGAATGAAATAATTTTTTTCTTAAATTTGATATATAGCTTAAAGACACATGCATCTAAAACATATCAAAAGTTTAGAAAAAAATTCAAATCAATACATAGTTCAAATCATAAACCAACATAAATGTATTAATACAATTATTCTATTGAAAAGTCACACATATAACACATAATAACAAAGTCTATAATAAATATCAAATGATACATAGCTTAAAAATACATTCATCTAGAATATATAAAAAATTTAGCTAAAAAATAGATCAATAAGTAGTTTAAATCATGAATGAACAAAAACATGTTGATCGAATTCTTCTACCTAAAAATCACACACATAACATTTACAAAAGAAATATAGAATAAATATCAAATGATGTTAGAAAATTAGAAAATTTGACATATAACTTAAGGACACATGTGTAACACCTTAGACCTAGGATTTAAATAGGTCATGAATATTATCGACATTGATTTACATTTGATGTGCAATGAATGCAAGTCAATAAGCCTCCTTACTGTCATTTCTAGTTCATTAGCGAAAGTGGGCAAATCCTACATTAGGTCCCTATTGAGTATGGGATACTAGGTCCACTTACACATATCATGGGCATAAATTTTTCTTTTAGATTCGGTTAAGCCTTTACTAACTCCATTTGAACATTCTCTAATAATTTAGCCATTACATTTTCTTCTAGTCTTGACTTTAGTATCCTTCCTAATTCACTACTATTTATTTTGAATTGCAACCATTTATATAATCCTATCAATTATATCATCTTAGCCATATTAGTCATTTTAAGACCAAGTTCCATGATTAACAAGTTTGGCATAACAATGGCTTAACATTCAAATAACATTTTTATTTATATCAAAATAATGTTTGATTGATTAATTTACATACATTTCAAAATTTTCCTAACTTGCTATACATATACCAAAAATTAAGTTAAGTTAAGTAAGATTTCCATACTCACTAGCCCCAAGCACACAAAAAGGGCAAGTCTTTCGGTTGTCTTAGCATCAACTCTTTATTTGTCTTTATCATCTCCTACACCATAAGAAAACAATGATGACGAAGACAATGCTTAGTAAGTATAACTTATGTGATACATGAATGCACATGATACAATTTTCATAAAATCCTTTTCATGCATCCGAAAATCATTTTCCTTTCGAGTGCACCATTTCCTTTATCATTCCTTTAGTTGGGGCCTTTATCTTATCCCCTAACTATCGAGGCATTTACCAAATCCCTCGATGAAAAAATGCCTTTACTATTTTTTTAGTTGGAGCCTTCACCAAATCCCTTAACAAGTCGAGGCCTTTGCCAAATCCCTCGAAAAAAAAAGATTTATCATGAAAATTATGAAAACTCGTTTCCTTTTCATTTCATCAAAATCATGAATATAAAATCATCTTTCATGATAATGATGTGCATATGCATTTTAAATGAAATGCAATGCAATGAACATAATCTCAACATGCATACCATGAAATCGTTAAGAACATGTACAAACATAATAAATCATTACATGTTTAAGACAATTAAGTATGCATGCAATGTGCAAACATACATACACAATTAACGAACATACTGAATACCATATCATGGCCAATCAAACAAGCATCATAAATAATCAACTTTCCATATGAACATGATAATTTTCATTCCTTTTACACCTCTAAAGCTCACAATAATTAATTACCTCTTTGTCCTTTCTTTTCATACTTAGCCGAATTTAGGCTAAGAGATGGAAACCTTTCATTCTTTCAAATTTAGCTTTATAAATACCTCTAAGACATTTCATCAAACACATGATAGACATTACGTAAAGTAACTACCAATTTATATATGCTTATGAATTGTTCATCCACCTTGTTCTTAGAACAAGGACACATTTAAACATGAACATTCATATCATTCAAAAATTCAAACATTATCATTTTCATATAATAAACACATAATCATCACCAAACCATTACAATTCAATCATTATCACATAATCCTCAACAATATACTTATTAACCCTTCATCAAGCAAACCATAAATTGACACTAATCA